CGGCGTTAACCCCTTCAAATAAAAGTATTTGATGACAGCACGATTTTCCTGCTTTTCCATTTTTACGAAAACCACAGAGGCGTCTTGTTCAGCGTGCTGTCAAACCTACACTAGCAAGGAGATCGGGCTGAAACTATAGCTACAAGCTATCCAAGGATGGTACTATAGAATGTCACCTCAAGGTAGGCCTAGTGGCGTCATCTCTTGGTTAGGCCGGAAACTTATCAATCCACCCTCGTAAGTATCGAAATATAATCGAAAATAATTTTAGGATATAAAGATTATTATATGGTACCACTTTTGTAAGAAACTTTTTTTGATATCTTCCAACTATAAAGCAGTTATTGAAGAAACTCGTTTGTTTGGGACACTGTATATTTTAAAAATGCTTCTTTAAATTAAAAGTGCATATTTATTCACGAAATTAAAAATTATGATCAAGCTAACACACTTTTTAAAGAATCAATACGTCCAGCTTAATGTATTAAAATTAGTCAAAAATAATATTATATTGTGTATAGTCGAATACAAGCGGAACCAAAGTTGTTGCCACAAGAGGAAGTGACGTATGCAGAGCCAGTTCTAGTACCGCAGCCCCCACCAAAGCTTCATTCGCCAAAGAATACCTTAAGAAAAGGACCCCATCAAAACAATGCTGAAACATTATTCCAATTCCAAGATGCAGGATATAATGGAAGAGATAATTTTAGAGGCCGTGATAATTTCGGAACCCTTCGATCACATCAGGTATTATAATACCAAACAAAACTAAAGTTGCTTTTTATAACTAATAAATTAGCATCCATGAATATATAATTTCTTCAATTTAAATTTAACTCACTACAGCCACACCGAAAATTAAACTATTGCATTTTAACAATCTGCTAAAATACTAGGTATGATATTTCATGGGTAAACGTGTTTTTGAATAGAATTTACTTATTCTTACAGTTTTAGAGTAAGTGATTAATTAAATATCTACATATTTTATCAAAATATGTCTATTGTAAACACATATTTCATGGGTGAATTAAAAAAGAACTGCCCTTAACATACAGCAACCTTTTGCGGTAATACACACTGATAAAAGTTTTATTATTTATTAAATTAATTGTCGCGAAGTTCCCAAACTAATTCCAAACGTATCCAACATGCGCGAGTTAGATTTGTACGTATTTAAGGTATTCATGAAGCTTAAGACAGAAGGGTCGCTTTTTTTACGATTTTTGGCTTTCAAAAAATTTTTAGTTTCTTCCCTTTGTCGGATTAAATGAACATTTAATAAAATAGGGTGACAACTACAGGCGTGGAGATGGGTTCTCGACAACGAGAAGTGTGAAGAAGGTGTACCTCTGAGAAAACAGTGAGGAGGGCGGAGCGGCACCCCGAAGTCTCGGTCGACCACGTCCGCAAAGACTGGGACACAGCGCGTTGCCGACTAGTAGCGGTTCTTCCAGTTCCCCATCTCCGCCCTCCTCGTCTCCATCGCCTACCCCTCCTCGCACAGCATCCTACATCTACCGGGCATAGCTAGACACGAGAGACTTTCAAAAAGCGATGCCAAGTATTTGTAACAACGGAAATGGTTGAAGGATGACATTATTGTCTATCAAGTATGCAGGTACGAAAGATACGTAATTAGGTATGACTTGTGATGACATGTTTTTAAATTAATACAGCGAAATGTTACCTGTATTAGTCGTTTTGTCGGAAATGTTACTATATTTGTAACGAGAGTTTCTATATACCTAATATAATTAACGAACGATGTACGACTGCACGAAAAATGATTGATCTCTTTTTAAAACGATAGACTTTCACAAAAAGTACTGTGTTTGTAAATTATTATACTTACGCCAAAGACATGTATATTTGCATACTCGTAAAAGGCAGACGTCTTAAAAATGTCCGTAATTTAATTTCAAAAGTTACCGAGATTGATATTTATTTGTTGTAGTACCTATACAGAGTTCTATAATTGGTTTTTAATTTTACAAACTGCAGCTTTAAAATTCCTGTCTGGGATACCACGTTTAAATACATGCATGCTTACTTGGAATTTATTTTTCACTACCCTAACTATACTATACTTATTTATTAATACTACGACTATTAGTACTTTTTTATATTATATTTTACTTTTAATTATATAGTGAATATATGAATACTAATCGTAAATATATAATAAGTAGTAGTCGTACATCTTTTGTATTTTGGCAGATTTTTAACATGAAATTTTGAAACTGTTTTTACTTACAATTAAGTAATTGTTATTCATATACGGTGATCGATGATCATACTGCCCCAAGGAAAACTTAAAATATTCAGTTAACTACAGTGTGTTTATGACAAACAACGTATATAAGTCAAATTTTTGTAAGTCTTACGCTCTTCATGTAAAGAGAAATTTATCCTTTTGATATTTATAGAAAGGTGCATTAGAACTTAGAGCTACCATGTAGAAAAATATTAGGAATAAGTATTTCAAAGATTAATAAGTGCTTCTTATGGATGTGTTAGGTAAGAATATTCATACATATAGATTGTTATTATTTAGCAAACATTGTGATTAGAAATGTATATTCTGTAGGTATAAACATTGTTCCACTTATATCTTTGTTACTAATAGAAATATTGCAATATTTTATATTCTAAAAGTTCACTTTGAAATTTTATAAAATTTTAATTTAGTAGTATTCACGTGTAATACTTATCAAATTACTGACGGACGAAAAACGTTATGAACTGTAATGCTGCGGCGATTTTTTTAGTGATAAAAGTGGAACTTATTGACTGATCGAAATGCTAATTACATATATTAGTAATATTTACTTCGACGACTGCTAATGCTGACGGTGGAAATTCTTGTAGAGGTTGTTGCAAGGTGAATAAAAAAAAAATACGAAAAATTCTCTGTTCAAAACTGTTTACAGTTTCTCAGTGTTGGACGCTTTTGATCAATTTGCATATATGTATACAGAAGACTGAAAGTATATATATGTAATGTAATATTCCCTGTCCAAAAAAAAAATACGTTCTTTAGTACAAGAATTAGAAACGGCAGTATGAACAGTACAAATTTTACTTCTCAAGACGCAAGTTTTCAAATTTACCCATTATATTCACTTTTTATATTGTTTGCTATAGAATTTTTTATGCCCAGAAACAAGTGGAATGCATTAACACAAAAAAATATTTATATAAAAGAAGAAATTAAATATTTCAAGGAATTTGGAGGCTAAAGCAATCTCAATAATATACCAGATGTTTCGACATCAAGCCTCACAATTATCTTTGAATAATGCCAAATATCTAATAAGGGAATGCAAAAGGATAAAGTATTTTTTACAAGATGCAAAGCGGTTCTTAATGATGAGACCCTATTTCTAATTTAGATATATTTTTGTAAATGAATAGAGGATGTATGCTTAAATTTCATGACTTGGAAAAGCTCTATAATGTCTTAAAATTATGTTATTCTCATAAGAATGCTTGTTAAGCTGTTCTCATAATGACCTTAAAATTTTACAAGCATTTTTTAAATATAAATCTCTTGTTGTTTTCAAAGATTCAACCAAAATCCCTTTTAAATTGAATAATCCATACATATAGTATTATTTAAAGAAAATCTTGAGGCTTGATTGTATTGTATATAACATTTTAATACGCTAATTTAAATAACATTATAAAGTTCCAGCTAGTCAATTTGGGATTTTAAAAAAATAGCACTTTTCAATCTTTGAGGAATTATGTTGTTATATGATATTCGTTGCTCAATTTTAATTTAAACTAATTAATTGCTTTAAGATGCGCATGATTATTTAAGTTTTTTCAATGTTCGTAATACACCTGATTCGACAGGTAGGTACCTACTACTGACATATTTTCTAAACAAATCGCCTAAAATAAGAACGATTAATATCTCCATTAATTTTGTACATAAACGTAATTCATACCCCACTATGGACAAGTTACACACACGAATCCATCACAATAAGTACTTTTTATTTTTATATAACAAAAGTGTATGTAGGTATTGACATTGTCAATTGTGATCATCAGAATAAAGAGTTATCGTATTTTAAAATGTCACTTCAAAGATCAATTTAACAGTGAATGCACGTCACTTTTGTAAATTTTAACCTTTTTGCTTAGAAGTTTGCATGTAGATTACGTAGAATTTTAAAAATATTGTATAAAGATGTAGATAAGTTTTAAATTCAAGAACTAGTCAGGACGTATATTAAAATAAATAAAAAGGAAATTATGCACCCATTAAACGCATTTACGATGATTATAAAGATGTCAGTTTTTGTCAGGTATTGAATAATGTTGATTAATAATTATTTATTTTTTTTTTGTTTTTAATAGGCAAAAATAATCATTGCTTTTGTAACCCGGGCGTATTTAAAATTACTTTCGTGTAAATAATTGATGACAATATTTTGGTCTTCCAATTTCACTATAGACTTTTAGAACTGGCCCAACGTTATCAGTTTTGGTTTATTTATTTGGCAAATATTCGGAAAAAAATTTTATACGAAAATATTCGGCATTATTATGAGCGAATAGTAGCATGTAAGCCAAGTGTAAACTGAAATACGAAAACAGGAATGAAACTGGAGTTAATGAATAAATAGGTATATTTATGCTTTCATAATTTCTGCAAATAAATTACTGAATGCTAAAATAAATACTACCATAAAAAATTTCAAAATTAATTTAAACTTATTTTTAAAATATTGGTCATGTGGACTGACAGTGAAGTACATGAATCTACAGTATTTATCCTGTCTGAGGTTTTGTAAATCATACTCAAATCCTTGGTTATTATTACACATTAAATGCGTACACTTTATGATAGCTGGTGGATTAATTATTGCGGTAATTGTTAATAAAAATGAAAACTGCAACATGTTGAGCTACTGAGTGAGATTATTTTTGCCTAAATGATTACAAAATATTTTTAATAATTTACTTCCTACGAAGCTTTTTCCTAACAGTGGTTATCAGTATCCAGCCTTAAATAGCAGGAGCCTGCATTTATATAGCTGTGCATCGTATTTCATCCCGTAGTATAAACAGCGCCATTTTTGATATTAAAAAAAATAAAATAAAGCATTGTATTTATTACAGTAGAGTAGGTATATAATATGATAAAATAGAATACCGAATAAGCTAAATTAGTTTGCAGATATATTTACAAAGTAAGTCAGGTTATGAATGTCTAACTTAGCACAAAAAGCCTTCATAAGCTATTATTATTAACTACTACTATTATTACCTACTACTACAACTATTACTATTACTACGTAATTGTGGAATTCTTCCTCATAAAGTATAACATCACTCAAACATATTACACCAACACACTCACATTCCATGGACGTGCACGATATTTTCTTACGGATCGTCCTTAAAACATATATATATATATATATGGATATTTGAACATGATTGTCAATATAATAACATATTAATTACGTTGTGAATTTTATGAGAAAATAAATTTGTAATAATTCTAAAGCATAGAATTAAATTAGCGCTGATATAATAACAGCTGTAATTTATTAAAAGTATAAAAGCCTTTTGCAAATGTATCTATAAATATTACTATTTTTAAGCTATTTGTCCAGGATTGCATTTAATATTATTTTAATTATTGTAATTGTTTATAGAAAAATTTTGTTTTGTATTCTACCAAGCATAAGCTTTTTTCTGTAAAAAGTAATTGAACTTGTACTGTCTGGACAAATGTTATAGAACATTCACAAGCAATTGCATTAATTATCTCATTATGTTATTAATTTTTTTTAACTTCCATAAGACGAAGTCTAATTTATAGCGAAAGCAAAAGTTTGTTAGTCCCAAAAAAAATTTTTGTTGCTATGAACTAAACAAATAAGTATCGATACTTAATGCTACTGCTGGATGTTCTTAAAATATCCACTAATTGATATTGAATTTAGAAGACAATTGTATTCTTTGAATATAGAAATAAATAATTTAAAATATATAAACATGTGTTAATATTTAGTGAAATAGTTCTCATACCTATACATATAAGAGTCTGCTGTTACTTGGTTGAAATTTATACTCGCTATTATGAATGAAGCATTAACAATAAATTTCAACTTTTGTTTATTTTAACTTCGCAATTGTTTCGCCAAACTTTCACTTCTTCTCCGCTTAATTTCCGAAGAAGCCAAGTTAGCATAACAGTTGCCTAAAGTTTAAATTTATTAACATTACTTTATTCATAATATTTCAAATAGTTAAATGAATTTCATAAAATTGTCAAACATAAATAATATAAGAACCTGACAAACTGAACAAAACGTAAAAAATATTCTACGAATATTATATATAAAAAGAATTGTGAGTGCTATCAGTACAGAGCAAAGTAGTATTACGTAAATGAAAGTTAGTGTCAGCAATTTCTTATGCTGAAGTGTACGATGTGTTACATACCTACTTACAAACAATTCCTTTAAATTTTAATCATTGATTACTATACGTCTATTAAAAAACCATAATGGCCGACATCAGTGACAATGCGTCAACAATTGAAAAAAAATGATGGCCGACAACAGCAACAATTAGAAAAGAATGATGGCCGACACTACGTCATAGTATTGTTCACAAAAGTGAATTTTGACCACTCGAAGCAATGGTGCTAATAGTTTCTAGCTCACAGTGATTGATAAGGAGGAAGAGCTGGTAATGGTAAAAGCAAAGTTTGAAACTGTAGATTACTTCAAGTTAAATGCGATAACGTTAATTGTTTATTCTAAAAGAAAACCTATAAAAACATCAAAATTTTACATAGCGTACATTATTAAATGCACGTTGATGAACGCTCACATATCTACACTCGTGTGCATGTATTGTATAGAGCTAGAGATGGAAAATCTTACCATTTGAGCCCACATTTAATTTTCAGCAGTTATAAGGGAGACCGCATATTTGACATAACTATAAATACGACTTGTTAAACTACTATAGTTTTTGTATAAGTATAAAAAACTTTTATGAAGGCCTTTAGGTCGCACGCCCCTTCTACCTATGAAATAAACTATAGACAACACAAAATTTGCCTCTACTTTACTCAAAATGCCACTACAAAAACCAGGAGAATTAATTTTACTGACCATTAAGATGAAGTTTCAAATAAATCCGACCACAAAGAAAATATCGGAATCTCCTGCCTTATTCATTGTATACATTATAACGGAAACCTCTGTGAAAAATACACTTGTATGTAACATCCCTCTCATAAATGCGTCAAAAAAAATACTAAAAACTTGAAATCATCTACATGTAAATAAACATGTCTGTAATATTTAAATAACACTACATGAAACACTTTGAAACTCAATAGAGGTTAATATTAAATATTAATGTGAAAATTCATTTTTAATTTTTATCCACTACAACAATTTTTCCTCATTAACTTGATATAATTTATAGTAGATAAAAATTAAAAATGAATTTTCTCTTTAATATCGAAATAACTTAAGATCTATACAAGCCAATCTTCGATGATTATAATTTGCAGGCATAAAGAGGAAAATGTCAGGAGTGGTCTTGGCTTATATTTTTAAATTGTTTATTAATTATAACAATTGTATTTTTTATAAACAATTGAAAATAACTTCACACGGTCGAAATCGCGGGTTAACAAAAAGTCAGGATTACTTCATTCGTTTTTTTGTAAAGTTACAGCAAGCAACTGATAACGAAGCGATAGTGCACTTGTTTGCACAAGTTTTGATGTTAGAAAATAAATTCTTTACTCTAAAACCATCTTGAAAAGCATATGTATACAAAAATTGCACATTTCAAACAGAAATGCTAAATGAATCCAAATAAATTCTTCATTTTTAAATAGAATTTTAATCAAACATAATAAAGAAAGCAACTCAAGCTTATAACTGATTATTTATTCTTCGATGTATGTAAAGTGCGATTCGCCATAAACCGCAAAATGATTCATTCGAATTAACTTGGTGTGCTGTGTAATTTTAGAGATATGAAATTTTCTCACCAATATTTCTGTGTACTAAATTGTAATATTCGCACATATACAAATTAACATAATCTATTACTCTTAATGAGAGTTCCGCTTTTCCTTGTTAGGTGCGAAACCATAAAAAAAGTTAAATATTCACGTTATTCCGTGATGCCCCTTACGTTACGCATACTTAGGAATAAGTAGGTACCTCAATAATTTTTAAAATTTAGCCATAAGTGACTTAAGTACTTATGGTACATATCGTCAATACATTGCTCATAGGTACAATAAAAAAATTACAGGTCGTAAGTAATATAAATAGGTAAATAGAAACAAATACTGAAAAAAACAGCAAGATTTTTAATAAAATTAGCCCTGTATACATTTAATTTGACCAACAATATAAAACATACAACTTAATTTTTGAAAAGAAGACAAAAATATCGAATTATGAAAGTTGATAAACAACTGTTTTAAGCACTTAGAAATAATAAAGAGAAAAGCTTACCTTTACTGGTGTACATAATAATTGATGTTTTCAATACACTTAGAATTTAGATCCGGAAGCGAGATATTATTCATAAAACTAAAATCACTGCTATCCGCAATTTAAAAAATTATTGCGGAGATCATTGCAAACCGACACCTAACCAACTAACATGCTTTTTACTAACTCACCACAACATACGATCACTGTCGATCAAAGTCGGATCGTAACCTACGACCTTCGGCGGGCCAATCGACGCCTCGAATTTTACCCTACCAACTAGTGCTGTTTGTACAGCTTTTTATATTGACAGAGAACAGAGATAAAGTTTAATTTATTTACTACATTTCGCCTTTTCGTATATGTCTTAAATGTCATGTAGAATTTATTATTATGCAAAATATGCAGATTTTAGCAACAATAGCCGATAATAATCTTTACTTAATAAAAAATCTTACTGTTTGAATTAGGTTATCAGATGCCTACCTCGACACGTAAAAGCTAACTAACAGAAACTTAAAATTTTTGAATCGAGGAAGCTTTAAGTTCTTATACCTCTATATTAAAAAACGAAATTAACATATATTTTATTAACCACAATGATCATTTCACCACACAGTGGATTCTTCAGGTGAAAGAAAGAGAAACTAAATAGAAGTACCTACCAACACCTTTTG